AAGAGCCTGTGTGTCAGCCTAGATAATATTAACTGTCCGGGACTTAGCAAGGATGGGGGTCAACAGCAAAAGGCGCTGGTCAGCCTAACAAGGCTGGACATTGTAAAGAGACACTGTCTATAAAGAAACATGGCTTTGTGGCTGCCAGTGTCATATTTCTCCCTGTTCAGGAAATTTCTGATGGTAAAGGTATTTTGATCCAAAGTATGATTTACAGGGAAGAGATTTAGAAGTAAAATGGGAAAAGATCATCCTGCAAGAGACACTTCATGGCATATTTACAAAACAGGTTTCATTTCATGAAGAAATGTGTTATTTGACCATATTTGCTGAGATTTCTCTTCATTGTATTGCTGTTTCTGTCTTTTCCAGTCCTCCTTCTCTGGGATAGACCCATGTGAAGAGATGACCTGGTGAAGGATAGCTCTCTCTCCCTGAGTGGCTTTATACATAGCCTCTGATACTCACTGTGATATCTGACTTGGGAGTAGGAATGAAGTCAGCTTCTGTCAGATGCTGAAGGCCACCAAAGTTGCCAAATTTTTCATGTTTCCTCCACTTTGCTCGTTGGTTCTGGAACCAGATCTGGATACAGGCAAGAAAGAAAAGGCACAAAAATGAACAGGAGGTACAGAAGGAAGTGCTCACATCCAACTATTTTCCCTACTCTCTAAATGAGCATCAGAAAACATGGACCTCCAGCTCAGCAGAACCAGGGGATGAACCTACAGGAAAACATTGGGTTCAACACAGCACCTTTCAACCTTTGCATAGCATGTGGGATCTCTGGACCATCATGACAGCCTCTTTTCTCTTGCAGCTCACAGAAAAGCTAGGATCTCCCTGTTCAAGGCAAGACAGTGTCACAGGGTGCATCAGTTCTTCCAGTGCTCTCCTGGGAAAGTAGATCCTTTTGCGGTCAAAGCTTTGCAGCAGTCAAGACACACAGCATTCTGTTTTCTCTAGGAGGTGTGATTTGTTGCATGACAGGGCTCTTTCACCCTGTTCCCAACTGAATAGACTGGGAAAAGACCCACCTATATGTATTGCTGGGCTGCAATAAAATGTGTCACCAGTGGAGATGTAGTAACAGGGTTCCTCCTATATTTAGCTGGTAACATTTTGAAATTGACGTAAGGGACCTAAGCAAAAGACCCAAGGGGATACCATCTTCTAAATCACTCAGCAGCCTGAGTACGTTATCTGCCATCTCTTTTGCACTGGAAAGCAGACAACTAATTTTCTCAAGGGAGTTTCTTTCATCTGTCAGCTGATTTGACCTGTCTGGCTTCTGGCGGAGGCACACAAGTATTTATTGAGTAGCCACAGTAGCGTATCTTGTTGCATTGCTGTGAAAAGTTGAATCCCCCTTTCATTGTAGTTTCTAGCTGGCTTAGGAACTTGCTGTTTGAATGGAAACATTTCTTTCTAGGCAAGTGATTCACATGAACACAAGGTGTTAGTGATCAAAACCAGATGCTGCTGGATGTAAATATGTATGTATTTTAAACCCAATAATGAGCAGCTCAGTTATTTCTGCACCTCTTGCCCAGGAAGTAATGGGGATGTCAGGCGCCCTCTGTTATATTGCTGATAGTTAGCAGTATCTGAGGTTACTGAAAGGACAGTCCTGTTTATCTGGGTTTGCATGTGTTTGAGAACTGCTTAGTCTGTGTGAACTGCTCCATTCCCTTTCTATGCAGGAGTTATATGGTGAAACAGCAGCATAAAAATGACTCCTCTTTAACACCAACAAAGTGATTGAGGGCAGAGGGGGGACTGAAGCCAAAATCCAACCTCTGAAGTGCTCCTTCCAAAGTCTGCACATGGGATAAAGTCCTTACTTCAGGGACTTTTTTTTTTTTTTAAAGGCAAAGCTGTGTTCACAGACCAAACTGGTCTTTTTTGCCCAACCAGCTTCCAACACCCTTACCCCTAAAATGATTTCTGAAAGTCCACCCTGCATTACTGGGATCTAAACCTATTCCTCCATGCTCTGCCTACCACAGGTATCAAACTACTGATACCATTTATTCTCTGCATGCTATCAACCTTCATTTTTCCAGTGTTCCTGATCTATAGCACTGAGACAGAGCACAGTATTCCCATGTTTGTTCACAAAAGTCACACCCCTGCTAAAGCCAGGGACAAGTGCTTCCTTAATCCTGCCTGAGATTTCACAAAATAATCATCTGCCCTCTCAGTGATCAGCAGGTTGTCCAAGGAAACAAGGACTAAAACAGAGTGGAGAGGGAGGGTGGCATGCCCCGTGTTGTAGGAATGGCCTCCATTTCTGGCTTTGTAAGATTGTCCCTTTGTTGTTCTCTTGCAGACACATGACCAATGATCCGGAGCTTGCACTACTAAAGAATCAGCCTTTTCATTATTTTCCAGTCCCCTGATCTTCTTACCATTTCCTAGCACTATCATTACAGATTTTACTGATAATGTAGTTCAAATTCACGTTTGTGTCAGTAAATGGTTCCTATGAGAGACCACCTATGAAATGTCCTCATTTGCAACTGGACACCTGTTGCAGACCTAGCTTTTTGTCTACTAGCACATGCCATTTGATCTGCTCTGTTTTCATAACACAAGCAGAGTGTAGGACCAAGGCAGGGTCCTTACAGTGACATGACATCAATGTTATTACCTTTATCAACCAAATACATAGAATCATAGAATTATAGAATCATAGAATCATAGAATCATAGAAACATAGAACCATAGACTGGTTTGGGTTGGAAGGGACTTTTAAAGATCCTCTAGTCCAACCCCCCTGCTGTGGGCAGGGACATCTTCCACTAGATCAGGTTGCTCAAAGCCCTGGCCAACCTGACTTTGAACACTTCCAGGGATGGGACATCCACAACTTCTCTGGGCAACCTGTTCTGGTGTCTTGCCACCCTCATTGTAAAGAATTTCTTCCTTATATCGAATCTAAATTTACCCTCTTGCAGTTTAAAACTGTCACCAATAATCTCATCTTAAAATATGAGTTTGACAACATCTATTTTCCACAAACCAGTGTTGATAAGCATTAAATAGATTACCATTTCTTTAATTCTTCATTGACAGAGACTCACATTGGCTTTATCACTGTTTTGCCAAAAATCAGTGTTTGGCTGACAGGCCAGTCATTATCTGGTTGTCCTGTTTACCCTTTAAATACTGACACAACGTTAGATTTCTTCAAGGACTCTGGAATGTCTCTTGTGCCCTAGGACTGATTAAATATCAACACTGATGACCCAAAGTGCTTCTCAAGCAGCTTTTTAAGAACTACTGGAGGTAAGTCACCTAGATGTCTGGATTTAAAAATAACTGTCTGTAGCAGCTGCTGTTCAACATTGTCCTTATGGAAGGTGTTTCATCATCATCATCATGTGATACTACCACCTTACCTGACATATTTCCAAGGTTAGAGCAGAAATTATGACTCAACTTCTTTGCCATTTCTGCATTATCCTTGAGAGTCCCACTGTTTCTATAAAGTAACAGATCAATATAATTGTTCACTTCTTTTTTTGTTTGTTCTTAATGGACTTTTATCGAGTTTCTCATGATCCTTAATTTTTCTGACCAAAGCTTTGGCCTGTATCCTTCTGTTTTGCTTATTTTTTTGTAATTTCTTGTTTCTGATATTTACTCATCCAGTATCCTTCATTTTGTGTTGCATGTAGGCATGACACATGCAGGGATATAATTCCATCTATCCACTTAAGCTGTTTCACAGCAATCATACATTTGCTTCTTGATTGGAGGACACAAGCTTTTTCACAGTTATGAAATGTTTCACTTGGTTACCCAATGGTTGCTCACTGTTTTTTCCCCCAGTTAAATTATCTCTCTGAGGTGATTTGACTTATACTGCTTTTAGCTTTGTCAAAACTATTACTTCAAAGTACCAAAAGCATATAAGAATTCTCTGCACTCTATTTTGTTTATGTGACAAATGCAATCAATCAAAATTGTAACAGCTTGTAACTTGTACCTAAGGTACTGCTAATTTTTAGTTCTGTGGCTGTTTCCCTTTATCAGCCGAGATGAGGTCAAACACAGAATTCCCTGTGTCATGTGTAACACTGTCTGAATTGGGAATTTGCCACCTGCAATTCATACATGAGGGGCTTTTTGCTTCCTTTGTGTGCATCTCAGGTTGATGTTTCCCATGATAACTCTTTTTTATTTTTTCCCCCTACAGATTATAAATAATTTTTTAAACAGAAGATTGTCCTGTTCTTTCATGTCATTTGCTGTTCTGTTGGGAGCACTGACTAGTAGCCCAGCTTTTGCTTTATACCGTTGGAAATGCATTGTGGGTGCACTGGTATCACTAATGGGCATATTACGGCTATGCTGTTCCAATTCTCCCTGTCATCTAACTATGAAGTAATATCATCATGGTTAGTCGATAGTCCCAGGTGTGTCATAGGCAATAAACTGCTCTGTGTTGAACTTTGATTGTTAGAGTGAGATATGTGCATAGAAGTACACTGATGACTCTAGCATTATGGCAAGTACAGAAACTGCCTCGTGCAAAAATCATCACAGCAGTGCCTGGTAAACAACACCAAATTCCAATACACGCTGGTATGTATATTTTAATGTAGCAGATTTCATATGCAGTAAACATTTGGAGTCAGTTTTGAGATCAGTCAGCAAGACCACATTACAGCTGGGGGGAACTGGATTAGTTTCTGTGCACTGAAATTACAGCCAGGGCAGAGCCTGTGATATCAAAATACAGAACAGTAAGAAAGCATTTTCATTTGGGCAGTTATTTTAACTTTTTTTGAGACCCTGTGGAAGGTGGATATAGATGGCAGTTTGTAGTGGGTGTACATTAATCTATAAAAGGTGGATAAATGATTAATAAATATTTTCATAAATGGCCGCTCTGTGTCTACAGAGTCCAACAGGTTTCTCATAACCATCTGTAACTCCTATTTGCTATGCATTTAGTATGCTTAGAGCTCCTGTTAACCCTTTGATTAATACCGTTTGGTTAGTCCCAGCTGGGTGACAAATACTTTTTTCTCTATTTGTAAAAGGAGAACAGTGATACTGGCCTCCTCTGTAAGGTAACAGAGAGGTCACGTATTTCATTAGTGTTGTCACCCAGGCATAAACTATTAAGTATGTACTCTGAATAAAAAATTGGTGCAGCAAGCATAGTCTTTTGTAGACACAATGTACCTGGACTCTGGCTTCTGGGAGGTTTATCTTTGCTGCTAGTTGATTGCGAACATGGACATCCGGGTAATGAGTTACTTGGAAAATCTTCTCCAGTTCCTGGAGCTGCTCAGCTGTGAATGTTGTCCGGATTCTCCGTTTCCCTTTCCTCTCAACTGTGCAAACAAGGAAACGTGTATCACATTTTATAGGAAAAGGCCACAGGGCCACAAGAAGATTCAGAGATCCAGCAATTTCTGTAAATTGCTATGCAGCTGGCATAGCACCTCCAACACCTTCTAGAGATCTACTTACCATAGGTGACTGTCTCCTGACCCAACAATGAATGTGAATGAACTCCTTTATCATTCAAAAGTGTCCATTTGAAGTGCTAATTCCATTCATCCACTGCACATCAACAGCTACCCTATGTATTTTAACCACAGTAGCCCTGCAATGGGTTTGTCATCAAAGTCCTTCAGTGTTGGACCAACCTTTGACACCTTTTTGCTCCTGTTTGTCACATGCACCCATCTGTTGCTAATTTATAATCCCTTATTAACTATTTGTGAAGAAACCCTTAATGTAACTGGAAATGATGTGGAAGTCAACCATTCCAGACTGACTGACTGCTGCTCTGTTCCCATACCATTCCTTCAGCAGTATTTAGGGATAGCCAGCAGTTTCAGTGCAGTGTGACAGTGGCATTAAAAATGTTACCTTACAAAGAAAAGTCATGGTATTCTCCTGACTGCACCGTTGTGGTGTGGGGACTTTCTAAACAAGCTTAACCTTAAGAACTACAAGGCCTTAAAACCCACGGAGCAGCATATGGGGAACATTGAGTGCTGTGAATTCCTATGGGGACTCTTAGACTGTTCTATTCCTTCACCTGCTGTGGTGTGACCACACTAAAGACTTCCCTCAGCACTCCTACACTGTTTTGAAAAGGCCCTCCTACACCAGGGTATTTTATTTAGATCATTAACTCTGTATGCTACTCGGTGTAAGTTAGAATAAGGTCTAGGTTGCTCTGAAATGATGCTGAAGGGCTGATGTCTTGCAAGGAGGAAGAGAAAGGAGCAGCAGAAGTGAGGTCTAAGGCAGCTGATCTGCAGAATGTGGAGTTCAGCCTTGTCCCAAGGCTGGAATCCTCTTTGATGCACAAATGGAGTATCTTCCAGCTGACATTGAATGACCAGCGCAAAAAGCCATGACCCAAACATTGTGAGTCACAGGGTTTTTTCTGCTGAGCTTGGAAAACTGCAGCCTGATAGGAGCATAAAAATTCTAATATCACTAGTGTCTATGATGAGCTTGCTACTCAATGACCTTAGGTAATTGGCAATGACACAAAGTTGCTCAAGAAAATAACCTTTTTGAATAACTGTTTTTGCCTTCTATGGTCTGATGACAACTACCAATTCCTACTATGTAACTAGATGCATACACTTCCTAATGGGAACTGTTAACCACAGAAGGTTAGCTTAGTCCCTCAAAGAGACTTTGTACTTTTTTTTCCCCCTTGTGTTCAACCATTAGCATAAACTTTTCCTTTTTGGGGCTAAAGCAGTGAAAAGATAACTAAATGCCTTGGCCAATATAAACTGGGCTCTGTGCCAACCAGAAAATGACATGTTTCATTCTGTAACTGAAATTTCATTGTGACTCTGTTGTCACAGAAAATAAGGAATAAAAAATTCTTTCCACTGACTTGGTAGGAAGGTGCCTAGGACACGATATCTGGGGACCAGTAAGTGAATATATTCTGTTGTGAATACTGCATCTTTTCTAATCCTTTCAGGTACTTTGAAAGGAAACCAGTCATGCAAGAATAAGCGAGGAGCGTCATTTATCATAAATGCTGTCAATACTCCCATATGTCAGAAACAGCCTAATAAAGCTGATATCCAACACAGTTAAATCCGTATCATTAGCCTTTTCACCAGCCTATCAAAGTACTACCCATTAGACTGGAGCACTGGCTTCAGCCCCAAGGGAAAGATATTATTTACATTGAATCTTGCTGGCACTACTGGGGCAGAGATCTGAAATGAGAAATATTTTTGTGCATTTATGCTGAAGATAGCAATGGGCACTCTCTCCTAAGAAACCCTTAATCCAAAGTTGCATCTACTTGAACCTTCCCAAAAGATGGCTGTAAGGGGGATTTATTGCTATATGGATTAAAAGGGAAATATCAGTGCTGAGAATATGAATCTGAGGACACCACATCCCCTGTAGATATGATAGAGCTAACAGTTCATAATGGTGTCTCTTGTCTGGAAGATTTTCACCTCACTTCTCTGTGGGGGCTGGCCTCCAAATCCTCCTGGAAGATACTGCAGACAGATAAGATTGAGTACCAAGGTGATACTTCGTCAAGCACATCATGCTCTGTCATACAGTAATGAATCTCTCTGCCTTATTTGTATCATTACAATGTATGGTATTTATATTTCTCTAGTACAGGGCAATTCATGTAGCAGATCCTGACAAGTGAAGTTTGCCCTGACCTTGTGTGGAGTAATTGCTGGAGGTGATTTAGAGATTAAACTTAGATTCACAATTTTAGGAAAGGCACAGCATTGAAGAAGACTCCAGGGTGAAGTGCAGCTGGCATGCGAGGAATCCATTTCATGGAAGTTCCCTGGGCCTGCAACCTTAGACGTCGGCAACACCAGGGGAACTTGGTGTGTTGGCTCTAAGAGGAACTGCCCGGAGGGTGGAGCGGTGCGGAGACACCGTGGCCAGGCTCTGTGTGGCACCCCAGATGGGACTGCTGTGAAGCATTCTGCCCAGCTGGGGCAGCTCCTGTGCCCTTGGATTCCCCAGTACACTCCGTCAAGCCCGGAGACTTGGGTCTATCTACGGACATGAAAAGACGAAGCGTTTGTTGCCTTATTGCTGCTGCTTTTAGTCCCTGTATAGTCCTGACTGTGCCAGAACATGGCGAACAATTTATTGTAGAAGTACTTACCAAAGGAACAGAGTGCAATATAATGGAACACTG